TTTTTTGAGACGGAGTCTCACTCTGTGACCCAGGCTGGAGTGCAGTGGTACAATCTTGGCTCACTGTAACCTCTGCTCCCCAGATTCAAGCGATTCTCCTGCCTCAGCCTCCTGAGTAATTGGAACTACAGGCGCACACCAGCACGTCTGCTTTTTTTTTTTGGAGACGGAGTCTTCCTCTGTCTCGCAGGCTAGATAGAGTGCAGTGATGAGATCTCGGTTCACTGTAACCTCCACGTCCTAGGTTCAAGCAATTCTCCTGCCTCAGCTTCCGAGTAGCTAGGATTACAGGTGCCCGCCACCGTGCCTAAATTTTGTATTTTTTAGTAGGGACAGGGTTTCACCATGTTGGCCAGGTTGGTCTTGAACTCCTGACTTCATGATCCACCTGCCTCGGCCTCTCAAAGTGCTGGGATTACAGGTGTGAGCCACTGCACCTGGCCCCGGCTAATTTCTGAATTATTAGTAGAGACGGGGTTTCACCACATTGGCCAGGCTGGTTTCAAACTCCTGACCTTGTGATCCACCTGTCTCAGCCTCCTAAAGTGCTGGGATTACAGGCGTGAGCCACCTTGCCCGGCCCAATACCCCACTTTCACATAGCTAGCATTCCACTCCCTGTGGCCACCCAAAAAGGACATTTCAATGGGAGGTGGGTCAGGGGAGAATCAGCTTTATAAAAATTTTAAGGTATATTTTTCCTGCCAAAGCATAATAAAGAAGGGTTAATAATATAAGGAAATTCTGTGTCCATCAAAATGAAACCACAAGATTATCTACAGAGGGCTGGGTGTGGTGGCTCATCCTTGTAATCTCAGTACTTTGGGAGGCCAAGGAGGATCGATCACCTGAGGTTAGGAGTTTGAAACCAGCCTCACCAATGTGGTGAAATCCCGTCTCTACTAAAAATACAAAAATTAGCCAGGTGTGGTGGCACATGCCTGTAATCCCAGCTACTCGAGAGGCTGAGGCAGGAGAATCACTTGAACCCGGGAGGCACAGGTTGCAGTGAGCCAAGATTGCGCCACTGGCACGCCAGCGTGGGCGATAGAGTGAGACTTTGTCTCAAAACAAAACAAAAAGAAGATTATCTATAGAAGGTGTCCTTCAGCTCACTCACCTCTTATCCCTTGCATTTTAGAAAATGAATCTGGCAATGGAGATTATAAACATATCTATTCATGTTAAATGATGAGAAGAATAGCCAGTTAAGCCAAAAGAGCCTAATATTAAAATATTTAACCGCTAGGAGTCAAAAAGCAGCAGCAATTTAAATAACACTATGTATCAAGCTTGTTTAAGTAAATAAATAAAGGAACTGTCCTATGTGCTTTATATATATCAACTCATTTATTCTTTACAACAATCCTATAAGGTATTTTCCCCATTTTACAGACAAAAGTATATAAAACTGTAAAGAGACTGAGGCACAGAAAAGTTAACTAATTTGCCCAAGGTCACATATCTAGTGACAAAGCCAGAAT